ACCCACTGTATCCACAAACAGTTTGTGCATCGCACCCTTCTACACAAACTTACTGAGCATCTGCAGTCCTATGCACCTGCACCCTGACACTCCAAACTTACTTTATTCACAAAGGGTCATTATGAATCAAATAGCTTTTATTAAACCTTTATAAATAAATTAGGCAAAGTTTTCTTACCTCAAGCCTTTAATTCAATAGTTCTCTTAACTGGAATTAAGAGAATTAAGTTCTCTTAACTGGAAAGAATGTGTTGTAGGCTTTTTTGAGAATTCACAAATAAATGGCATCTTAAATAAAAAATAAGTACCACAATGCCTTTTGAAAAATTGCTGTAAAGCCAGCACACTAAAGAGAATCACATGCACATGCTGATCACTTAAAAAAACCCAACCTGAGGTATAAGTATTTGTATATACAGTTTGAGAGAGAGTATGGAATCACATTCTGATAAGCTTTCCTCACTGATTTTTAGGGAACTGTTCCTTTGATATATAACCCAAATGGCGTTCATTCATTTCAGAGTGGAATATGTAATTCGCTCTTTTATCCCTTCCTCTATCCCCCGCAGTTCATAATTTTTTTACTGCCCTGCATATCATAACAACTGCCCTGAATATGATAACAAAAATGTCAAAAAGCTATCACTTTTACTGCCTGGCAGGGGAGATCTGGGGCAGGGTGTGCACTGGTGCACTTGTCCTCCACTTTGATTTCTGGCTCACCCAAAGATTAAAACCAACTGCCTGGCAGTGGCAGCAGCATTTCCAGCCAGGCAGGGCTGAGGGGGTCAATTCTCTCCGTACCTTCCTGGTGCCATATAATCTACTTGATCCCTTCTAAATTCTTTATTCCACAGGTGTTAACCCTCTCTTCTTTTCAATGGTCTGATGTCCCACCTATCCTTTGTTCAGCAATTCTGCTGTCCCTTAGCTGCTCCTGGTAATGTATCTCCTACTTCACAGCCCCACAGATTATTTCGAACTCATTCCAAGGAAGTTTGTTTTTTTTCAATCTTGAAGTGAATAATACAGCTGTAGGCCCCTAGCATATTAGTAAAACGTCTAGTTTATTCTTAACTGGAGAAAAATGTGTTGTTTTATATGTGATAATGCACATCACCATTTGCAGCCGGCTTTTCAAACTTCTAGATCCACCCATGCAGCCTGTCAGGTGGCTAAAGGCATGGTTAGGTATACTGCAGCTTTTACAAACTTTTGAACAACATTAGTTTAATTATTAAATATAGTCATTTCCATAAGATCATTTCTGTTGTTCATGACTGATTCCGTTCCTTCAGCTTGAACCCAGGCTAATTACTAGGAGAAAGAATTCACTTCTCAAGGGTATACTTACATTAAAGATATCACTGAATTACAGGTTACAGAAGGTCAGATTCCCTCTCATTTGGGCATATTTGCTCACACTCCTTCAGTAAGACAAAATGTCCACGCTCAGTACTTGCCAACATGGAAATAATTTCCAAATCATTAACAGGACCAGGCACTAATGGTGCAATACTTGATAAATACACACCAATAACTGCTTATATAGCAAGTAAACAATACTTCAGCTGAAATAAATTAGTTTTCTAGTTCCTTATTAAACCACTTGAGTGTTAATTTAGCTATTTATACTTAATGCAGCTGCCTTTAAGAATAAAAAAACTTGTATTTCTCATACTGCCAAAGCATCCCACTGTATTCATTGTGTACTGTTTGTCTTGCTCCAGAAGATTGAAAATGCATATTTACCCATAATAATTATTCTAACACTGCAAAAGTGTCTAATTGGCACTATAGCTAGAGAACTTCTAACTTACATGTAGATGTGGCTGAAAACTTTCCCAGCTGTGTCCTGCATTTTTTTTGGAATCAACATACAGTTCTCTCAGTGCTGAAAGATGACTCAATCTGCCCTTGAATTCATTTGAAACCAGTAATCTTTCAGTGGCATAAAAGATGTTGAAACCGTCTATAGCACCAGTATTTTAAATATTTCTAGCCACCCTGGTAGTGCAGTTTCTCGATACAAAAGCCCAAAGTATGCTGCTTTGTAAGTAACTTTGACTCTTAATCTTTGAGTTGATGAATGGTCTGACAATTCATGAAGGCAACAAAATAGGTATCCAAGACAGAAGCTGATTATTAATAAAGCTTGTAGTAGTTGTGAACTTTTAAACAATATTTTGCATTCATTGCCTTCAAATTTTTCTTTTTTTACAAGATTAGAGGGCAACAGGCTTTTTCACTTCAAAACATGTAGAAATGTGGAGGCAAACAGGCACATTAATTTGAAATGTTCAGATCACAAAACCTGGAGTAACAGCATCGTTGCATTGTAGGGGAGAACAGTAGACAGGAAATGAGACGATGGATGGAATGGCAGCTGCTATTCTGTGTAAGTTCATCCAGTAAAGCTGACCTGCCTAAAATTGGAAAATGAAAACTCAAAGATGGGGTTGAACTGAAATGAAGCCTCACATCTGTCTTGTTGACTCAAGCTGAGCATGACCTTGAGTTTAGAAAGAGGGGGACAAGAGTACAAGCAGGAAAAATAATGGCCCCAAAACAGGTAGTACTGTAATAAATTGCCCAGGATGTATCTGGGCCATTTTTTAACTTGGGAAACGGTGCACTGAAAACATCACCTTAACAACCCTAGATGAGCTAATTAAGTATTAAATATGTTTCACATCATGAAGTTAGTGACTATGTTAGATTAATATTAAAGTGAACTTCTTATTACTGAGTTTGCAATGCAGATAAATAGTTAACAAGTGACCTGGATATATATAAAAATAGCTTTTCCTTCTCTCTAAACTAGAGGCCTAACACATTGCAGACATGTCAACATGTCAGAATATTTGACAAAAGGACTGAGGTTGATTAAACTTTTGCACAACTGTCTGAAAAAAAATACTCAAAGTGCAGTAGCACCACGACCTCAATTTAAAGAAAAATACTTTTTTTTTTTTTGCTACTGAATCCATGAACAGAAATCACCAAGAAGTTGTAGGATATAACATTTTACTTGAATTAGAAATGTTTTAAGAGTCTTCAATCAAATATTCTTTTTCCATTTGTTTTTACTTTTAAAAGAAATTTTCAGCCTTTCTTCTTGATTTTTAAATTGTACAAGAAGAGTTAAGTGGTATCTTGCTGATTAGATTTACTTCCACTTTTGTGAATCTACCATTAAAATTGTTTACTAGGTTTTAATCAGTCTTTGAATGACAACCCTGAAGTATGTGCAGGTTTTGTGACAAATTGTGAGTAATTGACACCATGACAAAGTTTCTTATCCTTTTGTGATAGGGATACATCATCTGTTGTCAGATTTCTTCTGTTGCCAGTTTTGAGTAGTATCCTATTAATGAACTTAAGTGTTAGCCTGGAAATAAACAACTCACACAAGAAGTCCATACATGATATTGTCAACATGTTATACACATATAAAACAAAAGAAATAATTACATATGGGACTGACTTTGAAGTGTTAAAAACTATAATTATTTAAATTTATATTACATTAAGCATTTGCCAGGTAAACTGCATAACTGTATAAACCATACTTAGATATGTTTTTGATAATTATTATGATTTTACGTATGGTAGTTTGATTATTTTACATATTTTGATTCTATACATTTCTGCCAATGTTTTGTTCTCAAACTATCTCATTATGTCCTAAATCTATTGTTTCATTATAATTATTCCTGTCCTGTCTGTGTTGTAGCTGAGTTTTTCATTTAAGTTAGGTTTTCATTTAAAGTGACCAGGAAGAAAAAAATGGATGGAATTGATAGCTAAATACCAGTGAGGAAGTTTCAGAATATTTAATATATAAAATTAATTACTGGATTTTAAGGCCCAATAGAACCATTCTGATGATTCATTCCAACCCACTTCATAACAGATCAAAGTATTTCATCCAGTTACTTCTGTATCTAGCCAAATAACAAATGGTTTAATGAGAACATCTCTTTCTTTTTTTTCAAAGACATCGAGTCTCAATTTAAAACCTCCAAGTCAGTGGTTCTCAATCTTTTTAGACTCAAGGCCCACCTGGACTGATTTGCATTGATGTGAATAAATTTGAAGCACCCACCAGAAAATGCCAGCTTAGTTTTCACGCTTTTTGTGATTACAGAAAAATAATAGAATAGTTTTTTCTATTGCAAAGAAATCAGACCACAACTATGAACTTCTATTTGAAATCCCTGGTTTATCTTGTGACTCATGTTTGCAAACCAACAGTGCTAATATTGTGTGGTACTCTGTGGCACTCCAGGGAGCTGTGGCACCCTGGTTGAGCATTGCTACTCTAAGTACTAGAAAATTTACCTTAGCTGATATGTTCCAATGGCACTCTCTCCAATATCCCCATTATTAAAAACTTGAATCTTATTTCCAGTGTCAATTTTTATTTTCTTCAGCTACTATCATTTGATCACATTATATCTGTTTCTGCTCAACTGAAGAATTCTCTAATATCATTTATTGTTTTGCTCTTTGTTGATTATAAACTACTGTTGATTATAAACTAAGAAGGTAAGCAATGAAAAAAGGTGGGAAATTGTCATGACATATCTTTAAATGAGAGGGTCTAGACAGAAGACTTTTATTGCTGTAAGAAACACGTGGTGGGAATTCAGAAATCTCCACACTACTGCACCATCACTGACTAAATGGGGATCACTTCTAGAACTGCAAGAATTGTTTAATTTTGATTCTTATATAGGCTATGTCCTTTCTAGGGGGACTTTTAACAAGCTTTAATTACAGGTTTCGGCCATCTAGACCTTTTTTATTTGGAAATGGACTAAGACAACTGTCTTGAGTTCTCATAGGCTATCAAATGGTTATCTTAAATCACTCTGTATGTAGTTTGGATTTGAACTGGTAAATCAGAGCTGAGAGAGATGCGTGGCTCACACTATGGCCTTAGGAATGAAAAGAACCTCCATTATACAAAGCTCAAAATGAGCTATTTCCACAAACAAAAAAGCCATCAGGGACAAAATTATGGCAAGTAAATTAAATAAAGTGAGGTTAATAGATCCTTTTATTTCTGTTGTATAGGTTCTGTTTAAAATGTTAGTAGGATATCATCTGACTAGCTGCAGTAGACTGGACACTATTAACCTCACTGCTAGAAGGGTGCCCTTTCTAGTTTCTCAATAGTTTTTCTTCTATTACATAGAACATATTATCTATGTTTTAAGCTGTTGCTTTCAAATTGCATTCTATATTTAAAATATCTCATCTACCCTGATGTTTTTTTCTGCTTAGGACTATAATGTTGACAGCAGAGAATGCTGTAACTAAGGCAGGGGTGTGGGGGGTTAGGCTTCTACAGGAGGCAAAACATGCACAATCCACTTTCATATTGGAATTTAATTTTGTCTGATTTGTTCCTTTTTATATTCATGTCAAACAGACATATACATTTAATAACAAATGTTGCTTGTTTTAGAATCGACTTCATCTAGCGAAATATGCCCTCTAGACTCATGATTTTTAACTGGTTTTTTTTATAGACTGGTTGAATCCTCAACAGGTTAAAGATGATATATGCTCGTTGACTTCAATAAGGAAGTACCCCTCAGTCACCTCAAGGCTTTCATTCATTTTTTTTTACTATGGAAAAACAATAGAACAATTCTTCTGTTGCAAAATATGCAGAAAAACCATGACAGGAAAAGGCTTTTGACACTTTGGTTTCCTATTTGAAATCTCTGGATCTGCCTTGTGAATCATGTAGGTATTTGCACATTTAACAATGCTAATATTGTGTGGCACTGTACCATACCCTTAAAAGGATCTCATTATGTCCCAGCACTGTGGATGAGAATTACTGCCCTAAGCCAACCAATAGGAAAAACTGAAGAGTTGGGAGAGAGCAAAAGAAAGCAGAAACCCAGCTTCTCTCCTAGTCTTAGCTGCCTCCCTTCATCTTCATTTTAGTCACCTACGTAAAACTGTGCTACACTTCCCAAAGCCCATACCTAGACTTAGGAGACTAAATAATCCATTTGTGTACAGTTGGCTGGCTCATTTTCTTTTCTTTTAAAAACCTTTACATAATAACCCTTTGGTTGGAGCACGCAGGAGGTAAGAATTTGAAGGGATTAAATCTACCTCTCCCACTTCCTCAGAGAGGGCCCTAATTACTAGACTAGGGCCAAGGCTGAGCTGAGGACATTGTCCACCCCTTCTGCTGAAGCTTGGCCACTGTGCAGAAAAGATGGAAGATTGATATGGTTAGGGAAGAAGAGAGAGAGAGAACAGGCACTGTTCTAGATGGGAGCTGAGTCCTGGCATCTGCCCCCCCCCGGCTTGAGGAATTGATTTTATACGTGGAATAATAAATTACTTTGGCACCTAAAAGCCCTATCAAGATATTAGCAATTCTGGGCCTAATCTAAACTTAATTATACTGGTGACAACTTGGATACCTCCAGTCACTCAGGCAGGATGACAGGGGGCATGTTTTTTGATCTCTTGGACTAAAGGCACCCACGTCCTTTATTTGATCAAGCTCCAAGTGTCAAATGAATGTCTGAAAATAGACTTCTGAATGCTATTGACTTGAATATGAATTGAACTCCTGAATAGCTGGGGTGTTTTTTTAAAGGTTGATTCACTTCGCTGTTGAAAAGTGACATTTAATATCTTTTCTGGTGAAATAAAATAATTTAAACCTATTCTATCTATCTATCTTTCTAGGGCTTAGTCTGTTGGTCTGTCTGTGTGTTTGTCCATAACGTTCTTGTGGGGCTTGGCTCCCGGTGGGGTGTGGCTCCAGCCAATGTTGCATCAAGAATGCCCATCAAAAATGATGGGTGGGACATGTCTCAATGGAGTGGGCCAGGCTCCATTGTGGGGGAAGTTGGGGTGGCTGGGGAGGGGCAGACGCAAAGTGGGGCAGGGGAGGCAGTGTGGCACAGGTATCATCTGACTAGCTGCAGTAGACCGGACAATATTAACCTCACAAGGAGCCGGGAGTGGGGCGTGGCATGTGGATGGATGCAGAGCAGCAGCCATGCAGTACAGGTGGGTGGCGGCAGCTATCCACAGCCCTGCGCTAGGGGGGCATGCAGGAAAGGGGTGGGGGCCACGAGGCATTATTAACTCTTCTTTTCCTCCCTTAGTTCACATTACCCATTGTCACTTCATTCCCATCTCTTCATTAATTTAATTCCATTTCACTAAACCAACTATTAGACCAGCCCTGCTGCAGAACTAGACTGTACCTTCAGAGAGAGGTAATTCTTTTCTTGCTCCTAAAATCTTCCAGAGTGAAGATCATTAGCTACTACCTCTCATCATGCTGGTCCCTGTGCCTTGGCATTCAGTTAAGGTTCTGCTTGCTTTCTGCATCTCTATCAAGCCTCATCTTTCTTATGTGGGAGAAGAACATAGTTCCATAAAACCTTGTATCCAAAGCAGTGATTTGAAGACATTATTGTTCCTATCTGGCCATCTTATAGTTCAACCTTAATAGAGCTACAGTTTTTTTTAAATTGTCCATTTAAATGAGATTTTCATGGGGTTGTTTAGAAGAATTGTGTAAATATATAGGGGCAGTTTCTGCAGCCTTTATTTTGAGTAGTACCTATAGAAATGTAACTATGAATGGATTCAGGTATTAGATATGATACATATCTTTTAGGGGTACAGCACAGAACTCACAGAGCCAGTAAAAGGCTGGGGATACACTGGCTATATACCACTTTCCCCCCACTACCCCCACATACTGCTCTGCAGAGGTTGTGGCTGTCTATGGAATCTGCCTAGAGTCATCACAATGAGGGCAGGGCTGCAGCACTAGGCATAATACTAGGTCTTGCAAAGAAATCCCTGAAGAAAAATCTTACTGCTTCAGTTCTGCTACAGGAGAATTGGGCAGAGAAGGGACATTTAAGACCCTTTTTGGTTTTCTGGCCTATCACCTGCCATAACAAGTTAAAGGATCTTGCTCATTGTGAGTAAGAGTTGCAGAATCTAGCCTCCAGTAAGTCATAAAACTAGTTTTTAGCAGTTCACTTTTCAGTCAACAATTAATGTATATTAGTCACTGGAATTTATTTTCTAGCTACACTATGAATTATGATGTTTTCCCCAATCAACCAAGATTCATTTTTATCTCACTTCAACTCACATGAGTTTGAACAAACAATAATGAGAAATTAGTTGATGTATGAACACTTTTCAGTGTAACTGTCTATCTAGAAACAACAAATCACTTTCCTAGGTCTATAAAAACCTGGTTGTCTAAATGCTATGTCAATGTAAAATATAATGGACTGACCCAGTTATATAGTCTTGAAAATTCTTTGGAGAATTATAACTGCTATTCACTCTTCTACTCATCTTTTGTTTTTTTTTTAAATTTTATTCTGCCTTCCTGAGATTCTATACTGGCGGCTTGTATCTATGAGGTGATATGTCCACAGCTACTCACTTGCAGGGGTGCAGCATTTCTTTGGCTCCTGTAACTTAATTGTGTAAATCTTGTAAATGAGCTCAACTTGATCTTTTAGCACAATACAGAATATTTATGCTATATTCATGTGCATAGGCTTCATTAACAAGAGCTTATTCATGTATTTATTTGCTTTTTGATATATATTACTCTGGTCTACACGTCCATTAGTACACTTTAGTTAAGGTTCATTAAATCTAGTGCCTCCATTGTGAGGTACTAAGAAAATGCGTGTTAGTTTTTCTTAATGCGTATTAACTAAAGAGTATGGGGCTCCTATGTGTGTGTGCAGAGCCTGCTCCAATGCACTAGACATCCAACGCATCAGAGTAGACTTGATTAACTGAGTCTGCTGGAGCATGGAAATTGATATCCTCCAGCAGCCTTCTGCATCATGTGTATCAGCATCTCCATGTGTATCAGCATCCCCCACATGTCTCCATGCTGAAAAAATGGTGAAGTGCTTCGAAACAAAACACATTGGATGAGGTTTAGTTCAAAGCATACCTCCGCCATTTTTTCAGTGCGGAGACACTGATACATGTGATGTGCAGGTGGCTTTAATTAGTGCAGCTTGCTAAGTAAAGTGCTCAGCACTGCATCCCACAGCATGTGTAAAAATGCCCACTGTTTTAAGTGATGGTTAATGTACATTAGTCTATTTTAACACATTTTAACTAAATAGCACATTTTTTGTGATGCTTCAATGCACATTAAGATAGACTAATGCACATTAAAGCACTTGTGTAGACATGCCCCCTTGGTACCAAAAATAGTAGAGGTGCACCAGTATATCAGTGGCATACTGGAGCAGCACTAAAAAAAGGAAAATTAACATTATTGGCCATCGGCTTTTTTTAGCTGGTATAGCAAATAATGTCATCGATAAATGCCACGTACATAGAATCAGAGAAGGTTAGGGTAGGAGGGGTCCTCAAGTCATCTAGTCCAGCCCCCTGCTCAAAGCAGGACCATCCTCAACTAGATCATCCCAGCCAGAGCTCTGTCTAGCGGGTTTTGAAAACCTCCAAGGATGGAACTTCCACCACCTCTCTGGGGAACCTGTTCCAGGGTTTTACCACCTGCCTAGTAAGAAAATTCTTTCTAATATCTAAGCTAAATTTCTCTTGCTGCAACTTGAGACTGTTGCTTCTTGTTCTGTCATCTGCCACCACTGAGAACAGTCCAGCTCCATCCTCTTTGGAACCATCTTTCAGGTACTTGAAGGCTGCTATTAAATCTCCCCTCAGTCTTCTCTTCTCTAGACTAAATAAGCCCATTTCCCTCAGTCTTTCCTCATAAGCTATGTCCCCCACCCCCCTCACCATTTTTGTTGCCTTCCACTAGACTCTCTCCAATTTGTCCATACCATTTCTGTAGTGGGGTGCCCAAAACTGAATGCAGTACTCTAGATGTGGCTTTCCCAGTGCTGAATAGAGGGGAATAATTACTTCCCTTGACCTACTGGCAACATGCCTACCAATGCAGCCCAGTATGCTGTTAGCCTTCTTGGCAACAAAGGCAACCTGCTGGTTCATATTAAGTTTATTGTCCACTGTAATCCCCAGATCCATTTCTGCAGAGCTGCTGCCCGACAGTCAGTCCCCAGCCTTAACTGGTGCATGGAATTGTTCTGTCCTAAGTGCAGGACATCACATTTGTCCTTGTTGAACCTCATGAGATTTCTTTTGGCCCAATCCTCCAATTTGTCTAAGTCACTCTGAATCGTAGCCCTACCCTCACTCTTCCCAGCCAGGGCAGTGAATGTGACCCTGGGGATGGGAGCAGGATGGAGCCATGGGCGGCTCATCCAGTGGCGGGAGGAAGGGGCAGCTCATCCAGGGGCTGTGTGGGGGAGGGCGTGTGCAGCTCCCTTCCACTGTGTGCATCCTCAGGGAAGGCTTGGGGGGCATGTGCCCCCCCTTATCTGTGCACAGGGCAAGAGCGGTTTCTCACTGTGGGCTTAGGGCCAGGGGCTGCGCTGGCCTCTTCCTGACATGGGTGGGGTGGCTCAGCTGCATGGGGTGGGTAGTGGTAGCAGCAGAGGCACTGGGAGGGGTAGTTATGGATAATTTTTGGGTGGTTGTTGTAGTGAGGCAGCAGAGCAAAATACCCCAAGCAGGGGTGTGGTAGAGGCAGGGCTTGGGAGGCTACAGCCACCCCAAAATTCCCCATAACCCCGCCCCCATA